CTCCCTACTCCCAGGTCACACACACTCCATCACTAAGGGAAGTCAGGGCTGGAGGCAGGAACTCAACAGAGGCTGCTGCGGTGGGGGTGAGGGTGGGAGTCGAGGGCTGGGGGGAAAGGGGAGGGGAAGTAATTAGGGAGACCCTGCTTACTGGCTTGCTCCTCAAGGCTCACTTGGCTTACTTTCTAACACAGCCCAGGGCCACCTGTTGTGTGTGGGGGAAACAGTGCCCCCACTGGGCTGTGCCTTCCATGTCAGTCTTTTGTCAAGAAAACGCTACCACAGATGTGCCTACAGGCCAGTTTGATGGAGACATTTTCTCAGTCGAGGCACCTTCTTCCCAAGTGACTTTAGCTTGTATCAAGTTGATAGAAAACTAACCACAAATACCAAAAAAATTAACTTTGCAGCTGGACCTGGTAGTAAACTCCTGCAATCCCAGCTCTCAAGGAAGCTGAGGCAGAAAGATCTATCTAGTCAAAGACAGCACAGGCTACCTAGTGAAACCCTGTCTCAGAAAGCAAGGATTAAAATCTGGATCACTCCAGTAGGAACAGTGCTTGCTTTGGAAGCCATGATTGCCTGACTCGTGGAAGACGCCAGGTTCGGCCTCTAAGTTCGCAGCAGTACGATGGGCAGGCTCTGATGCAGATGTGTTCTGAATCTTATGAAAGAAATCAGGCCAGACATTAAAACAGGAAACACTAATCGATCTGGGCACAGTGGCGCACGCCTGTGATCCCAGCACTCTGGGAGGCAGAGGCAGGGGGATTTCTGTGAGTTTGAGGCCAGCCTGGTCTACCAAGTGAGTCTAGGACAGCCAGGGCTACGCAGAGAAACCCTGCCTCAGTCGGTCAGAAAGTAAAACAAGAAAGTGATGACTTGTTTGTGCCCGGGTTTGTTTCCTCTTCCTCTCGGGCTGTAGGAAAGCCACAGACCCTCTCCTAGCCTTGGTCTTCTACATGGCAGGACACTCCCTAGACCCCAGCCTCTTAAACTGTGAGGCGAAGCTCCCTTATGGATCCGTGTAACTTTATGTGAGGTTCTCTGGAAAGTCAGCAACAGCAAAAGGTTTCTGAATGCACAATGATCAAAGAATAGTTCAAAATAAAATGCCTACTGCACCGTTAGTGCTGGCGGTGCTCACCCACGTTGCCCTTGCGACTTCACTGCAGCCTTGGCTCTGAGCATGCAGCATGCTCTGAAACACCATGGCTCGGAGTCCATGCTGCATGCTCTCAGCTGCAGTGCTTTGAACGAGCTACAGGGTCTCCTGTTTTTAGAGGAAACAAACTGTGGAAAACAAAGACTTTAAGACCAGTGCTTGAGTTGCTGACTGGAGTTTCATTTTTTAAAATTGTTATACAAGGATGGAGAGATGGCTCTGCAACGAAGAGGGTGAACCTTACAGAGGACCGCAGCTCAGTTCCCAGCACACACACTGGGCAGCTCACAATCACCTGTAACCCAAGTTCCGGGGGGATCTGATGCCTTTGACCTCCAAGGGCACGAGCACTCTTATGCACATACCCGTGTAAGAAATAACAAGTGAGTCCTTTCTATTAAATACCATAAAACTGTGTTTGGGACAAGGAATTAAAATATTTTTATCTCCTCCACCCTGTAAGAGTGTCCTGCAAATATTTTAATTCCCCCCATCCAATAAAACCTTTGTTCTGACCTAAGCATTTAAAAGGCTGGCACAGTGACCTTCTTCTCCTTGCCGAAAGGATTCATTTTCCCTTCTTCTGCCTGTTCTTTTCAGACTGGCCAACTGAATAAGATTGTGAGGTCAGACCCCAGGCTACGGGGGAGAGACACAGCCACCACCTGAGTTAGAATAAAAACCAGATGTGCTTCCGGTGGGTGTGCTCTTCTGAGCACACACACCCTCTTGATCAAGAGTATCATTTGCTTGTCCAGACACTCAAGTTGGAACGGTGGTCTCTTTCTTTGTGACTTCAAACCTCTTTCTTTCTTTCTTTCTTTCTTTCTTTCTTTCTTTCTTTCTTTCTTTCTTTCTTTCTTTCTTTTCTTTCTTTCTTTCTTTCTTTCTTTCTTTCTTTTTCTTTCTTTCTTTCTTTCTTTCTTTGGTGTGGTTGTGTTTTCTCTTTGTTTTACGGTATCTTTGTGTGAAGAGAAATTTCTAACTTTATTTTATTTAACATTTATTTATTATTTATACAGTATTATGCCTGCACACCAGAAGAGGGCATCAGATCCTATTATAGACGTTTATGAGCCACCGTGTGGTTTCTGGGAATTGAACTCAGGACCTTTGGGAGAACAGCCAGTGCTCTTAACCTCTGAGCCATCTCTCCAGCCCCTCAAACCTATTTCTAACACCCCCACACAGAGGCAAACACATATACACAATTAAGATAATAAATCTTTAAAAAGAAAGTTAAACAAAGTTAAATTAATTTGACTGGTGATTAGGAGGGAATTCTCAACAGTTTCTGAAGTGGCCCTAAACACGCTGTTGTCATTTTATGTTATCAAGTTATGCAAATGGAATCTCAGCACTATAAAATGAAAACACTGAAGCCATCTCCATCTGAAGAGTTGAGCACTCAGCCAACACTTCCTTATGGAGACAGAGTTGCCTGGTGTCATTTGTATGCAAATTAGCTTTTGTGTTTAATGGTAAAATTATATGTGTAGCCAAGAAGTGTTTAAAAATAAATTTATGATTTATTATCAGCAGATGCTTGGAGGAATCTAATATGTGTGTCATGGTGTATGTGTAAGGACAAATTGTGGGAGTCTGCTCCGTCCCTCCACCTTGTGTGTCTCAGGGATCAAACTCAGGTTATTACATGGCAGGCACGTCTGTCTGCTTAGATCCTTAACCTACGAAGCAACGATCTTCAAATTTAAGCTATCCCATATGCCTGATCAAAAACCTTCAAGGAGGACCTGCTGAATAGTCAGGTCTCTGTCTTACTCCAGCATTGAGCAAAACTAGCCAACTTCCACTTTGTAATTGTGTAGTTTTCGAGGAGGAGATTTCTCTGCCCATGACGAAGGTTCCAGGCAGTCCACACACTCCATGGTGGCCAAGCAGAACAGGACCTGGGATATTTCTACTTGGAGCTCTTCGGGAAGACTTGCCTATGAACATGAACTTGAAGCATCTTGAGAATTTGGCTCCAACCTTCCTGTGATGTCTGATGATCTGGGAAAGAGGTCAAGCAGCCTTGAAGCTAAAGTTCACTCCCTAGAAACAGGCTCATTTCTCTGGCCATTGTTGCCAGCAGAGTCAAACAGACCCACCAGACACCTGAGGAGACCTCTGCTTGGGTTTCTTTATTTTTTTGTTTATTTGTTTTAAGACAGGGTTTCTTAAGGCTGGAGGGATGGCTTAGTGGTTAAAAGCACTGGCTCTTCTTCCAAAGGACACAGGTTCAAATCCCAGCATCCATGTGGCAGTTCGCAACTGTCTATAAATCCAGTTCTCGGGAATCTGGCACCCCCACACAGGCATACTTGAAGGCAGAACACCAATAATAAAAAGTAAATAAAAAGCAATAATAAAACATTAAAAAAAAAAAAAGACAAGGTTTCTCTGTGTACCCTTGACTGTCCTGGAACTCACTCTGTAGACCAGGCTGGCCTCTGCCTCTCTAATGCTGAAATTAAAGGTGTGTACCACCACCAAGCAGCTGGCCCTCTGCTTGGGTTTCTAGGAGAAAACAGAGCAGACAGCTTGGGGAGTCCAGGAAGAAGACTGTCAAAGGAAGAATGACACAGCATAACAGCCACTGGTGCTCCCCGCGTGTCTGAGAAGGGAGAGAGCAGAGACTGTGCTGACACAGAAAGAGTGAGAGGCAGGCCCGGCTATGTCACGCAAACCCTGGGTAGAGGAGTATTCAGCGCAGTGGCTCCCAAACGCCCTTCTAAATTTTAGTCAATTTGAGGGTGTTTTTAAATTTTGCACTCTCATGAGCCCTGAATGATTCACTGGCTCTTTTTTGGAAGCAGCTGTATTTTGAGATCATTTTCAGAAGTTATTTAAATATCCTGGATGTTCCACTTACCAGGGTGACTCAGAAAGAAGCCTTTCCCTGGGGAGGGAGAGAGGGAGTTGGTGTTGACGGGAGAGAGCTTGTTGGGCAAGGATGAAAAGGTTCCAGAGGCACAGGGCACAACAGTGTGCCCGCTAACACCACCGGCCCACAACACCGGGCACAGTGCCCATCTGTGCTCACCTATGCACACCCGTACACATGAGTTCATCTGGCTCTGAAGTCAGAACTGGGTACATTTTATGGCAAAGGAGTGTCCTACTAAAACTGATTTTTACTGTTTTGAGGTTTTGTTTTGTTTTTGAGACAGGGCTTCACTGTGTAGTCCTGGCTGTCCTGGAACTCTGTAGACCAAACTGGCCTGAAACTCACAGAGATCCACTGCCTCTGCTTCCTGAGTGCTGGATTAAAGATGCGTGCCATCACTGTCTTGCAGATTTTTTTTTTTTTCAAAACAGAATCTCTCTGTATAGTCTTGGCTGTCCTGAAACCCTGTATGTTGGCAAGCCTGGCACTTGAAGAAATTGCCTCTGCTCCCCCAGTATGGGAACTGAAGGTGTGTGCCACCATGCCCAGCAGGTAAAACTGTCCTTAAAAAAAGAATACTTCAAAAGAAAAAATTAAACCAAACAAACAACAAAGAAAAAATAGAATACTTTGCCCACAGCACACAACCCTATGGCACTGTGTGCCATCGAGCTTCAGAACCCCAGCGTGATCCCAAGCACACCCCAAACGCCTGCTCCCTCCTGGACAGGGAATGCTCTGAGGCTGTAGGCTGGTTTTATGCTCCGGAGGTGTGTGACGCAAAGACTGACTGGACAGACGTGATCTGGCTGAGTGGATGGTCCACCAATGAGCAGATGCATGTTAGATATATGCTCTGGTTCATTTACTCCTCTCAGCAAACATTTATTTAACAGCGGCTGGCTTGGAAATTTGAAGTGTCTATGTTCCTTCTGTTCATTCTAGTATCGCAGACACACAGTAAATGGATCTATATACTGTGTAATATATACTGTGATAGCTGATGATCAGAGATCAGGAACATGGAGGATGACATCTGACTGATGACATCATGAATGGATCACATATGCCAGCACTACTGCCCTAGGTAAGCATGATCACAGGCAGATTAGTAGGGAAATTTACTAACGGGAGAAGATACCAGTATAGCAATAATAGCCAGGACCAGCATTGTGGGTATGTGGTCACAAAGGGACCTACACACAGAAAGTCTTAATGTTCTACCAATATCATGAATTTTTGTTTACACATAGATTTTTATTTATTTAATCTGACGTGGGTTCTAAGGATCCAAACTTCTCTGGGCAGCACACATTTAACTGACAACAGCACTTCACCCCTGGGCTTTTTGACCAGGCTTCCTTCATATTGATATTTCTGTAGCTGCCTGTACAGAATCACCCTGTTGTTGTTTTGTTTTTTGAGACAGGGTTTCTCTGTGTAACAGAGCGCTGACTATCCTAGACTTGCTTTGTAGACCAGGCTGGCCTCGAACTCACAGAGATCTGCCTGCCTCTGCCTCCCAAGTTTCCTCAGGTCCCTCTGAAAGTCTTTCTGGTATATGTTATAGCTTTGATTTTTAGATACTTTAAGATCACTTTGTGACCCCCCACTCTTCCTGTGGGATTTTAGTTAGGATGGAATTACAATTGTAGATAAAGTTATGCTTCAGAAAATTGAGTCTTACTAAGTGAACAAAATAATTTTTATGCGTCTCAGTAAGGTTCCATGATTTTCATCAAATAGGTTAAGTAACTTCCCATTAATTTAATCCTCCAGTGTTTTGTTTTAGTTTTTTTGTGAATGAGACTTTGTTTCATCAAACAGGAGATAAGTAAGATAGTATTAGCTAGATGGTATGATGCTGTGGGTGAAACATCCTTGATTGTGATAGTCTCCTTAAGCATTTATTTTAATAAATTCTCTTATTCTTGTTTTTGTTTAATACAGGGGCTCACTGTGTAGTTTTGGCTGTCCTGGAACTCACTCTGTAGAGGCTGGTCTCAAACTCACAGAAGATCTACCTGCCTCTGCCTCCTGAGTATTGACATTACACTATGCTTGGCTTTGATTTTTTTTTAATGTTTTTTTTGTTTTGTTTTGTTTTGTTTTGTTTTGTTTTGTTTTGTTTTGAGAGTTGCAATGGACTTACTTACAAATTGTGATTGGGTTTTTACTTTTCCTTTCCTAGGTACTTCTCATTTCTGTAGCAAGAATGAAACTTGCCATGTTAGATGATACAATTTTCACTTCCACTATTTTGAGGGACCTCATGACCCGTTCTCTCCAGCTTGGCAGAGCTGAGGGTGTTCTCTGCTTGCCGGCTTAGGGAAGAGATGATACAGCAGAATGTCGGAAGAGGAAGTCAAGCTGTCAAGCCTCTATCAGACTTGGACAGCACATGAGGCAGTGAGCAAACGCCATTTCCTCAGTGTTGACCCATGTCCCTGAGCTGGGTTATCACAGATATGGAGAGCAAGCCCTTAAGAGCGTTCCCAGATGGTGCCACAGCTAATCAAAGGGTACAAGTTCCAGATGACAAACTGACGTCACTGAAGTACGGAGCAATGGAAGGAAAATGGAATTGGCTCCACCACAGATTGCTTGAGAAGCTTGAGAAGCGCCTCTTAAGACTGCTGACATGCTTCTAGATTCAGAGAAAAAAAATGAGTTAGAAGCAAATGTCCAACACTGAAAAATATCTTTGAACCCTGTTGCCATGCTCTGGAAACCCAGACATTGACATAAATATACAGTGAAGAATAGGGAGGTATCTGGAGAAATCCATAGCCTTTTCCACAGCCGTGCCCAAGAGGCAGCAAATCTATCATTTCTTCAAGAAACTAAAAACTATGGGTGCAGTTGGGAGAGAAAGCTCTAAGAGCACAGTGCGAGGGTCAATGGAATGACTTGATACGGGTCTAGAAGGACCCCGGGAGCTGTGAAATTCTTAGACATTCCCACCAAGTAGGCACAAAATGCTCCTGCATGCCCAGCTGAGGGACAAAAGTGTCTGAGAGACAGAACGAAGAGGGTTCTCAGCGGAGAAGGAGCTGGGCAGAAGTTAGGCATATACACTCTTGCCAAGCTACATTTTAGCAAATAGTAGCCTCCCACATGGGTGAATCCTAGCATTTGGAAGGTTGGGCAAAGTTCCAGGCTAGCCTGGGCTACAGAGCCTGTCTCAAAAGTCAAACAATAAAAACTCAGGGTTAAGGAGATGGCTCAGTGAGTAAAAGCACTGCCAGCACAAGCCTAACGGCCTGCCTGCGCAGGACAGACTGCACACCTGCCATTTTCCCAGCCCTGTGGGGAGCTGAGAGGCAGAAGCAGAAATCCTGGAACTAGCTTCAGACTGGCTCGCCTGGACCTCACACCACAGCAGAAGAACAAGGGCGACCTGGCCTCAGCACACAAGGTGGAAGGCAAGGACTGCCCCCACAAGCTGTCCTCTCAATGAGCAGAGGTGGCACTTGTACTGCCACCCATGCCTGCACTCATACACGCGCGCGCGCGCACACACACACTTTTAAAACATTAAAGCCGACAGACCAAACAAACCCAATAGTCTTGTGGAGACTCATGGGTCGGAGGCTTCTCTCCCCTGCAGCTCTCCACACTATGTGGAGACAAGTGAGACAGCAAAGCTGCCAACCCCCATAAGGAGTGAGAGTAAATTTCCATCACCCGGAAGAATGGTGACTCACGATGGAAAGTTGAAACGCAATGGAACTTTTAAAATAATAATAATAAAGGATGAAGGCCTTATTTCTTTAAAAATTGCATCTGTGCTCTGAGAGTCACGCCTGCTTCGTCCACAGCAGCCAGAATGCCGACTGTAGGTGCACTCACCTTGTCTATGACTTTAATGGAAATGCGCCCGACAGTTGGTGAGCTGTGATGTCCGCTGTTAATTACTCATCTTTTATGACGTTAGGCACCACCATCTCTTTGAAGTTGGGTGGGGTTTATTTTGTCAATACTAAGTCAGGATATGTATTTAGTTTTATCTGCTGCAGTTTCTGATATTATCTTTCAAAATGTTCATATGATTTTTCCTTCATCTATTAAGGCAGGGAAATATAGAACAAAGTACCCTTGCCTTTGCCAGCTTTTTTTTTTAATCAAGTAGGCTTTAATCAACAAAGCTTTATCCCTTCATAATTTATTTACAATCTTAAAATCAATATTTAGAAATGAATGTGGGCAAGATTTTATATGAGGGTTATACTAAGTTTGTAAAATAGTGATATATCCAAACACTTCCCATGGTCTAGGCTCTAAAACCACCCATAGTCCTCAGGGTTTCCCAGAAATTTTACAGTATTAGCAACTAGGTCTGAAAATTTAGGGAAGAGTTTAAAATTTGTTTGCGTGTGTGTAAGGGTGAAAGAGCAGATATGGAGTCAGGAAAGTCTCACTGTCATCCCCTGCTCCCCACCTGCTTAGAGACAAGTGCTCTCCAGCCTGGCTTTGCCTGAGTCTGCGGAATGCAAACTCAGGCTCTCAAGCCTAAACAGCAGGCCCTTTACCTACTGAGCCAGCTTGTCAGCCCTGGAGGAAGACTTGTTGATTTTTGAGACATGGCTTCTCGGTTCTCTATGTAGCCTTGGTTGTCCCGTAACTTGATAGGTAGACCAGGCTAGCTCCAAATTTAGAGATTGCCTGTTCTGCCTCCCTAGGGCTGGGGCTGGGATTAAAGGTGTGCACATCATGTCTCTCTTAGAGTAAGTTTTGTAGGGTTTTTTTTCTTGCCTGTGTGTGTCTGGGAGGTGGTGGAACATGCCTTTAATCCCAGTACTTTGGAGGCAGAGGCAAACAGATCTTTATGAGACCCAGCCTGGTCTACAGAGTGAGTTCCAGGACAGCCAGGGCTACACAGAGAAACCCTGTCTCAAGAAAAAATATTTTTGTGAACACTTTATTATTTTTATGTTATGGATCTTTGCTGGGTTGTATGTCTGTACACCACATGTAAGCAGAACTCATGGAGGCCAGAAAAAACATTGGGTTTCCTAAGATTGAGATTTCAGATGGTTGTGAAGCCACGATGAGGGTGCTGGGAATTGAACCTTGGTCCTCTGGAAGAACGGACAGTGCTTTTAAATGCTGAGCAGCCCCTGGAATAAGATTTTTGATCACTTTTCTAGTCCTGTAGAATTTTCCTCAATAACTGGCCCGTTCAAGATCTTTCTTTCTTTCTCTCTCTCTTTCATTGTTGGTTTGTTCGTTTTTGAGACAGGGCTTCTCTGTGTAGCTGTGGCTGTCCTGGAACTCACTGGCCTTGTAGACCAGGCTGGCTTCCAACTCACAGAGAGTCACTTGCCTCTGCTTCCCAACTGCTGGGGTTACAGATGTGCGCCACTGCACATTCCTTTCAGAGTCAACTCTTGGACATTTGTGTGCGCGCTTTGTTTGCATGCATGTCTGTGCGTCATGCATGTGCCTGGCACCCGCATTGGTCAGAAAAGGACACTAGATCCCCTGCAACTGGGGGAAAAGGCTGTTGTGCGTCAACATGTGGGAGCTTGGGTCCTCTGGAAGAGCAAGTGTTCTTTATTAACGAGGCAACTCTCCAGCCTTCTGAGTCAGTTTCAATAACTTACAGTATTTTCTAAAGCCCTGGGTTTAATCTCTAGCATTTCAAATTAATTTCAATGCCTAAACTTTAATGTGCTGTTTTAGGAATGTCTAAGTCTTTTGTGTTTTATCTGAAAACAGTACTCCTGGACTCTAGACAGCCCCTGCCAATGCCCTCTCTAACTCCCACAAATGTGATCCTTCTGTGAACTGGATGTTTGGGGTGGCAAATCTCCACTCACCCTCTGCTTCCTTTCATGCTCTGGAATCTCTCGAGTGCTTCCTTTCATCTTTACCCCAAAGAGCCTGTTTCTACCTAATGGGGCTTCTATCCTAATTCATAGCACCAAGAAGAAAAGCTGTGCTTTCTCTGGTCTTGTGTGCTTGACTTAGAAATGAACCAAAGGGGAAGAGATGATTCCCAGTCAGGGCAGCGGCTGGGACCCTTCCATGATACAGGAGTTCCCCACCTGCCTGTCTTACTAGGCAAGTCACCACTCTCCTGTAACTACGGCCCAGGCACGATGGAGCAGACAGGGCTTGGGACGCCCTGTGGTGTCTCCTGCCTCCACACTGCTAGTGCTGCTCCATCTGTCTCAGTCCCTACAGCATGTTCTTCGTCTGGGCACTATATCCTTGAGTTTCAGACTTGATTGCTCAGATTGTGCACTTAATGTTTTGTATACTTTTCTCTGTGTATTACATTTTACAGGGAAAGGATATCTTTATGTATTTTTGTTAAAAAAATTGAGACTGTTCACAAGAGACCTTTAGTATTCTGCCAACACAAGTTCATATGTAAATTAGTTATCTGTACACAGTGATGTTCAGGACAGCTAGAGCTATGTAGAGAAACCTTAGACACACCCATACCCACCCACACAAAATAACCAACTCAGCAAGCAACAAAAAAAATTTTAAACCGACTCAATTAGTTGCAACACAATTTTTCTTTAAAAGGAGGAGGAGGAAGAGGAGGAGGAGAGAAAAAGCAGCAGCAATCTTCCACAGAAGAGAGGGGTTTAAAGGGGGAAGAGTGCCTACATCATCTATCTCAGGGGATGTAACGACAAAGGTCAATATATGCAGGTGTGGCATCTGTCCTGCTGACAGGTCTAAGCAGCAAGTGAAATGACAAAGCAGATGACACCAAACTCACCCACACATGAGTGGCTGGTGGTAACAGGGCAGAACTGAAGGCTCACAGGGAGAAGAAAACCTGTTACCAACAATGAGATTGTGCTAGGAACGCAGACAGGAGGGCAGGAAGGCAGGCCATGAAACTAGCCAAACCACGAGAACAGAGGGAGATGTGGGGCAGGGGCAGGGATCAGCCACTCCAGTCAGAAGTCACTTCTCCTCCCATTTGCGGCACAGAAAACAGGACATAGGTTAGTGCACTGTTTTGACATGACACTGGCAGCTGCAGTCCAGGGGCCTAGGCAGGACGGTGTGCAGTCCACAAAGGGGCTTTCACCTGCTTGGTGTGTAGGACTGTCCTGTCACAGTAACAGAACCCCCGAGAGCAAGAGAAACCAGAGAACATGCTTTATAACACATTCTCCACAAACTATGAGAATTGGTGGTGCCAGGCGCCTCTAAAGGTAAGACTGAGGTGAACTGAGTATGTGTGGCAAAGGGCAAGGTGGCAGGATCTTTTATGGAGAGTTCTGTGGGTTAGCTCGGTGTGGTGACTCCTGCCAAGAATCCCAGCCCTCAGGCTGAGGTAGTTTTACAAGTTCAAGGCCAGACTGGGATATACAGTGAGACTGGCTAAAAAATAAAGCAATACTAGGTTGCATATCCAAGTGGGAGTTATTTTGGGCTTAATTATTGATAAATAATAGGAAAAGAGAATTATTAACTTCCTGGGAAAAGTAAAAGTTATATGAGAAGAAAAAAGTAAGTTGTTAGTTGGGTAGTGGCAGTGCAGAGAAATCCCAAAGCAAAACAAAACATCATATTAAAAAGTAATACAAACATTGTTGTCTAGATTGCACTGTCAGGGGCAGGGGGCTCAGGGGCATCTGCAGTAGTCTCTGAGACAGCCTTGAGCAAGAGCATGGGCAGGTGACCCAGGATTTGGCTGGCCTGAAACTGGGAGTGGCTACTGCGGTCTGGACTCCACAGGTGGCTGTGGGAAAGGCTGGGGACTGAGAGTGGCCAAATAGTAGGGGTGGGCTGTGACCTGCTAGGGTATTCCACAATACGGGGGCTGGTCAGATGGGACATGGCCTGTAAGCCTGGCGACCTGAACTTGACCTCTGCAAAGGTGGAAGGAAAGAACCAATTCTATGAAGTTGCTGTCTGAACTCCATGCATGTGCTGAGGCAGGTGCATGCCTATACACACACACACACACACACACACACACACACACACACACACACACTACACTAACTGTAATTTCTGAAATTTCACAGGATTCATGCTGAAAGTCAGTCCTCAACCACAGGCCGTCCTCTCTGAGAGAGGCACCTATCCCTTCCCGCTCAATCTATTGGCACTCATTTTCATCTTTTCACATGAAATATGTGTATTATCGATTCATGCTTTTTCTGTTAGGCATTTTGACCAAATGTGTCTTACAGCTTATTTTTTTCATTTTTGTTTTCCAAGACAAGATTTTTCTATGTAGCCCTGGCTATCCTGGAACCCACTTTGCAGACCAGGCTATTCTTGAACTCTTATAGATTCACCTGCTTCTGCCTCCCGAGTGCTGGGACTAAAGGTGTGCGCCACCACACCCAGCTGGTTAATACGATTTTTATTTGCCCAGAGAGCTCAGCTCTGGGTCTTCTTGGGTTGCAAACCTTCTGAAGTGGATATAATAAATGATCCCATTATGGCCTTTGGTTTTGGAGGAGTTATTTTGTTGTCATTTGAGACAGGGTTTCATGTAGTCCAGGATGGCTTTGAACTTGCTATACAGATGTGACTAGCCTTAATTTCTTGGTTCTCCTGCTTCAGCCTTACAAGTGTCAAAATGACAGGTATGAGCTGCCACCCCTGGCTGCAGATGACTTCTTTTTTGATGCCTGATTAAAGTGCTGTCTGTGGTAGGTGCTCAAATTATATGTATGAATATATACATTCATGAAGAAGGTAGGAGTCAAGGTGAATTCATATGTAATTTTAAATCAAAGTCTGGAGATAAAAGCCAAGGTTAGATTAATACTGTGACTGATTATAGTAAAAGTATGTAAAGAACTTAATTGTATGATAGAGTGGACTTCAAAGTTCCTACTCTGCTTTGTTGGTTAATATTTAAGTTGAATTGTTTGTTAAAAGAGATATTTTGCTCTGAAAGTACTCTTTAGGGCCTAGATCTGGGGCTTGGTAGGCAAATGCAGGTCCACTCTGCCAATACTCGATATGCCTTTATAGACCTGCCTCTTTTCGTTTTCTAGATTGCAAAACCACAATCTCCACACAGTGTGAGGTGAACTTCTTTTTTGCCCATCTGATAAAACTGGAAGAGAGAAGACTTTCTTGCCCCTTACTGGAGGGGCACTGCAGAAACACCACCACAGCGCCACAGTGGGAGCCTCGTGGACCAACGCTCAGAACAAAAAGGAGGCCTGGCCTTAGACCAGCACTGTGCCATGGCTCTCTGCGTGAATTCCCATTAAATGGGAGAAGGTTCTTACCATTTTCTGATGTTCCCAGTTTAGCATAGGCCAATCGACAATATACCTCATCAACAGAATAAAGAACAAAAATTATCTATCTCCTTAAAAGACTGTAAAAAAGCAGCTAATAAAACTCAGCACCCTTTTTATGATAAAAGTAGGTACAGAAGGAACGTACTTTTTTAAAGATTTATTTATCTATTGTGTATATATTATTCTGCCTGCATATACACCTGCACACTGGAAGAGAGCACCATATCTTATTATAGATGGTTGTGAGCCACCATGTGGTTGCTGGGACTTGAACTCAGGACTTTTGGAAGAGCAGTCCATGCTCTTAACCTCTGAGCCATCTCTCTAACCCACAGGAATGTACTTTTATATGTATCAATACCAAAACAACATTTACCGTAAAGGATTATGAGTTTATACTTTTTAAAATTTGTACTTATTTTTATGTGTATGGCTGTTTTGCCTGGACATCTGTGTACCACAGACAGAAGAGGGTGTCACCTGTCTTGAGACTGGAGTTAGACAGTTGTGAGTCACCGTGTGGGTGCTGGGAACCAAACTCAGGTTTACTAGATGAGCAGCCAGTGCTCTTCACTGCCAGCTATCGCTCCAGCCTCAAGAGAGCTTATTCTTGAGCAACTCCAAATTCCATGTGCTGCCCCCTGCCACCATTCCCCCTCCCCAGCCACAAGGGTTCTCTGTGTAGCTCTGGCTGTCCTGGAACTCACTCTGTAGATGAGCCTGGCCTCAAACTCACAAAAATCCACCTGCCTCTGCCTCCCAAGTGCTGGGATTAAAGGCGCGTGCTGCCCCTACCGCCACCATTACCACCGCCGCCACCATCACCGCCGCCGCCGCCGCCGCCGCCGCCGCCGCCACCACCACCACCACCAGGTTGTAAGTTTTTATACTAACAGAACAGTCATCAGTCAAAGTACTATTCAAACACTTTGGTGGGAACAGTAGGAAGGGGGTTATGGCAAAGCAGGGAGCCTTGCTGTGTTTCAGGTGCCCTCTAATGACATTCTTAGCTTTTCCAGTTAGGGAAAACTAGAGTTTTGTTAATAGGTTCCAAAGGGTTTTATCTGTTAATCACAGGATATTAGGTCAGACACAGAAGTGGGCAAGGAATGCTTATTTAGATAAATTGTAATTAGGCTCTGAACCTGCAACATTCCAAACTCTCTACAATGGTTGAAGTTCTAATTAGCTAATCAGCTTTCAGAAGGTTCAGGGTAAGGTCAGCTTCCTTCTGGGAACCTTCATTCACACATGACACACTGGTTAATATACTCAATGAGAAGTTGGAAGACATTCCTCTATGATTGAGAGGAACAAGTATGCCCATTTCCACACTCCCATACAGCATTGTACTGAGTCTTAGAACAGTTAGGCAAGAAAAAGAAATGGAAAGCTGTCAACAGTAGAGAGGAGGCAGTCTATCTGCAGAGGTCATGACCTTAATATAGAAATCAGTACAAAATCCACTCCCCAAAACTGCTAGAACTCAACAAAGTGAAGTTTCCAGATACAAAACAAATACTCAAGGCACAAACTGGTGATGGAGCAATTGCCTAATAGATGTGAGACCCTGGGTTCCATCAGCACTGCATAAATAAAAGCCACAGACACAAGAGCAGGTGGCCTGGCTTGTCCTCTGGCTGCTCATGGCCACACCCAACCCCTGCTTTGAGTGTACGGAGTGCCAGCCTCAACTGTGCCAGGCCATAAAACCTCCTGGGCCATTGGTGACTCCACTGCTGCCATTTTCAGCTTTGAGAGACACCAGCCCCAGGGAACCAGACTCAGGGCAAGTGGCAGATTCTATTAATTCGAGAGAAAACCTTCTTAAAGGATTACCTCAGATGGGAGCATTTTCTAGATGGATCTTTCTCCAATTACTGTAGAGGAATGCTGTTTGTCAGACTTAGAGATGAGGGAAGCCCCCAGCCTCCAATAACAGGACCGACCCTTTCAGCCATCTTGTGAAAGCCTTCCTGCCTCTCTTGGGTGAAGAACTGCAGTGTTCTGTGCTCCTTGAGACTGTTTCGGTTTCTCGTGGCTCATCAAGGGTTTCCCAGAGCCTTTCTCCAATGTTTCCTTGACTTGCCTTTGAAGCTTCCTCACTGATCCCACCCCCCTTAGTTTTAAAGTAATGCTAGCTCAAGAGGGCTCTATCTTCTGAATTTTCTCCTAACCGCTAGCACTGCTGGAAGGGTCTAGCCCCAAAGTGAGGAAATGAATAGGAGGTGCACAGTACTCAGAGATAATGGGATCTCGAGGGTCTTGTTAGAATGCTGCATTTCTGACGAGCTCCCATGCTGCTGGTCCAGAGCACAGCTTCTGTGGTGGCTCCCAAAGGCCCCATATTTGAGTGACTAGTCCACAGTTGGTGGGAACTGTTTGGGAAGGATTAGGAGTCCTCTCCAGTTAGCTGCTTTGCTCTGCCTCCTCCTTGTGGATCAGATGTACTCTGAACTACTGCTCCAGTGTCCTGCCCTGCCTGCCTGCTGCCATGGCGGTCATAGACTCTACTCTCTGAAACTAAGCAAGGCCCTAATAAACTTCTATAAGCTGCCTTGGTCTTGGTGCCTCTTTACCAACACAGAAAAGTAATTAAGACAGCTTCCAAGTAGCAAGGGGTGAGTAGCGTAAAGCAGAGGGGTGGGGCTGTAAAGGACCAGCTTCAGGAGGTAGGTCAGATGTGTTGAGGCACACCTGATCTCCAAGGTCTTCTTGGCAAGGTCTCAGCCTCTAAGGACTGGGTCACACAGAGGCCCCAGCCAGCCACATACAGGCAAAGGACTACCTCACACCCTCCTTTTCACCCTAGCTAGTAAAGAAGTCCTGCCTCTGGGGGCAGCTTGTCATAGAACAGTTCCTCAGGAGGGCAAGGATGGAGGGTAAGCTCCCCAGCATCCTTGGCCTTTCTCCAGGCCCTACCCCTCAAGGAGCAACCTTTCTTTTAGCAGCAGCAGGTCACTCAGGTAATTTGTCCAACACCACATAACTAAGAGCCTGCCCTTTCCTCCCATGCATTAAACCATAAACTACACACCTTTGGAACAGAAGGGCTCAGATAAGATTAAACGACAGGTCAAAAAGCTAAAGGGTAATGACTGGCAAGTAACATTTCAAAGGCCAGAAGCCAGACTGTGATCCTAGCAGCAGGTTCCTTTGTAGTACATCAAGAAGCTATTCTGCGATAGCTGTCAAGTGCAGGTCTGCAGCCACAGTATGAAGCAAAAGGTTGCAGCAGAGGCCTGACTCATCAGGTAGTACCAATGGTTTGAGGGGTATCTGGCCAGCATGGCAGTGGGTGGAGGGCCACACTGGGAAGTCTGAACTCAGCAGCACCAGCCCACCTGTCCACACTGCAAAGGAAAATGTAATGCCTACATTTCAGCTCTTCATTTGACAAACAGATGTTGGAGGGAAATTTGTAGGGTGGGTGAAGAGATAACCAAGTGGTGAACTGGGAAATTCTACTCACTTAATCTTTTTTTTTTTTTTTTTGTTTAGATTTCTTTATTATGTATATGATGTTCTGCCTGCATGTGTGTCTGCACACCAGCAGAGGGCACCAGATCTCATCATAGGTAGCTGGGAGCCACATGTGGTTGCTGGGAATTGAACTCAGGACCTCTGGAAGAACAGCCAGTGCTCTTAACCTCTTGAGCCATCTCTCCAGCCCTCACTTAAACAATCTTTACAGACTGCTCCAACAGGTTCAACAGTCTTAAAATTTCTTAAGAGAAATTAAGCATCACCACCACATACCTCTTTTAAAAAAATAAACAAAAAAAAAGCAGGTCAACAAGTGACCATTAGTTTATAAGCCGTGCTCCTCAGTGACCAAGCCATCTTTCCTTGCTGTACCTCCATAAAGGGCGGAAATGGTCAATTCACGTGTGATACACTAGCCATGTGTGGCTCTTCCACTACAATGGCAATGAATGAGCCTGCACCCCTTGTCACATGTGCGCCAGAAGGGTGTTCCTGCTTGGAATTCCCGGAAAGTGCAATAGCTGTCTTGATCACTGTGCCCTCTAGTTTAGACAGCAGACCGCTTTTAGGCAAATACTCATTTGATAAAGGGTGTGGCCTCCACTGCTTTTACTGTGCCCAATCCATGCCCATTTCTTTACCAGCTCAATCCCCAAAGGCATTAATTTAAGCTTGAGAATTTTTCCTAATACAGGACTCTGGAGACATTAAAATCATACAGATCTCATAGAGTACTGTGCAGAAGGTCTCAGAAAAAGAAGTATTTGCCAGGGGCTGAAGAGACAGCTCTGTGGAGAGGAGCATGCGCTACCCTTTAAGCACCCAAGTCTGGCTCCCAGCACCCGCTGAGTAGCTCAGTAACAGCCCATCCTTCCAGCTCCAGGGGATCTGGCCTCTGTGGGCACCTATACACATGTGCCATATACCCTCACACATGCATGCACTACCATATTACGGAGAACTGGACCTTTTCTATAAAGCACCAAAGAACACAATTATAGTCAATGCATACAAGTCAGATTTTGGCTTTATAGAGTGTGTGTGTGTGTGTGTGTGTGTGTGTGTGTCTTAATGAGGCCACCTGGATGAGATCACTCGTGTGCAGAGTGTCATTCTTCATGGGACATTAGAGAAGGATTCTAGCCCCAGGCAGAATCTTGATTGTGTATCCATACAAGCTAGAAGAGTCCATTTAGGATGCAATGAAATGAATGAGGTTGTGGCTGCTGCAGAGTGAGGCCTCCAGACTGGGCCCTGGAGAAAATGTGGCTGGCTTCCTTGGATATGTAAAGTATGTGTAATAAAGCAGAAAAAGGGGATCGCAGAACCACACAACTAGGCCTATTTTTTGTTTGTTTGTTACAGGGTTTCACTATATCGTCTTGGATATATTAGCACTCACTATGTAGACCAGGCTGACCTTGAACTCAGAGATAAAACTACCTCTGCCTCCAGAATGCTGGGATTAAAGGTGTGAGCCATATAATGGCCAGCAGGAGCAAGTGCTTCTATGTAGAACAAGGAACAAGGAACAGCATGGAGAGGACCTGGAACATGTGACCCTCTGTTCTGTGCCTGTCTGTGACCTTCCCATCCCCTTTCCTTCGTAGCATCATGCCTTCCATAATATAAATACCACCACGCATTTTGGTTTGCCTTTGCAAGCAGTGTCCAACAGGAAGCTTTAATTATTCTATGGCACTTCACACCTTCACTAGCAAGGTTCTACAGCTGCTCAGCACCAGAGACCCTTTGGTTTCCCTCCAATTTAAATACAGCCAAACCCGGCAGCTGCTGGGGTCACTGCCCTGCTTCCTCAGCCATCTCCTTCTACCTGTACACTAGCTCCACTGGTTAGCTCACGCAGCCCCGGGGCCCCAGCGTTTCTGTCTCCACTGGAGACACAGAGCACTGCAGCTCCCCTCTCCACAGCTCTCCTGGGGTGTCAAGCAGACATCTAGTTTCAACACACCCAAAAGTTCTCTCTCTCTCAAAATTTCCCTACTCACGGCCTTCCAAGTCTCAGCGGATGACACACCTAGACTTCTGGCTGCCCAAGTCCATAACCTCAAAAGAAAAAAACTGACTGGAAAGCAGAGTCTGATTCACACAGCCAGTTACCTAAAAAACAGGGGAGTCCTGGGGACTGGAATTACTCATTACACCAAATCATTACAATGCTGTTCTAAAACATGCCTCAAGTCAAGTCGTTTTAAGTCTAGAATTTGAATTATGCTTTAATTAAAAAAAAAAAAACAAACAAAACATATACCACTTTTTGAAAGCTGAAAACCAGATTTGACTGAATACATTTGCAGGGATCTTGGCCAAGTCTTGTAATCTTCAGCAGAATGATATCATAGTAGCAGGTGCCAGCAGAGGGTTGTAAACTTTTAAAGTACACTTATCTAGTTTTACTAAGAACAGCCAAGGTCTAGCCCTTAAGGTATGATTCACACAATCTTTTCATCTACGAAGGACTCACCTGAGTTTTGTGGTGGGCAGGCTAGTGGAAAACCAGACACAATTCACTTTTCTTCTTCTTGTTTGAGACAGGCTCTCCCTAGGTAGCCCTGGTTGTCCTAAAACTCTCTATGTAGACGAGCTAGCCTTAACTCAAAGACTCACCTGTCTCTGCCCCCAAGTGTTAGCGGTGTGTGCCACCATACCCAGCTTTGTGGCTTAAAATCTCCACTTTTAAGCCATTTAATTTTAAACCATTTAAAAACTCAATAAATAAAAAAAAAAAAAGCCTATTACAGATGCATCCACAGATGTGGAGTTAGAGGAAAGTATGAGAGATAAGATATATATTTTAATTTTACCAGGACGTGAAGGTAGAGGAGAGTGTTTGAGAAATAAGTTAATTTTAAAAATAAATTACTTAGTAATAAGAAACTAGACATAATCCATTTTCCATATGTTCCTAAGACAAGCAGACAATGAAGACAAAGAAAAGGTTCACCTCCAAGGAGGGCAATGCTTTCCACTATAGAATATCCTGTCTCCCAGACAATTAGCCTTACCATTCTTACATGATGCATAACCATGTGGAAAAACTTGTCACGCTTGGCCAGGGCCAGGAGATGAAAACATAACAGATCCTAATTAGCTAATTATAAAGCATGAGCATTTTGGAAAAGGAGCCATACAATCCGGCCATTGTTTTGCTAAGCATCTGCAAATTGTAGACTTCCTCAGCCTTCAGCCACAGTTCCTGTCTGATGTCTTAAAGTGGATGCACTGTTGATCCTCTCTAGGCTGAGGTGAATGCTAGTCATCAAAGTCTGGAATGTCATCATAGGAGTAACCTCGGTAGCCTTTGGATGCATAGTAGGCGATGCGCAAATGGTAAAATCCTGGCAGGAACACCAAAATGCCAATGATGAGGACAGGAACGGCTCGGTCTGCCCCCTGGTGGCAGAAGGAAAACATTAGTACATACAAGTTAAACCTTTAGATCTCTTCTCTCTGATCACAAATTGCCACCACCTTTTTCTTATCTTTCACTGTCTGGGATCAAATTAAGAGACCTTGGGCATGCTAGGCAAGCGCTATGCTCCCAATTTCTTCCTGATTACAAATTAAGCAATAAATTCAAAACTATAGAAAAGAAAGACTTTTAATCTCGATATTAGGCGTATTTCCTTTTGCTCTTTCTTTTTTCTTCTTCGAGACAGCCTTTGTAGCCTTTGGTGTCCTGGACTCGATTTGTAGAGCAGGCGAGGCTTGAACTCACAGAGCTCCACCTGCCTCTGCCTCCCCGAGTGCTGAGACTGCAGGCGTGCGGCCCTGTGCCTGGCTGCCTCCACTCTTTCTTTCCAGTGTGTATGCGCCTGTGCTTGGGGGGTGGATACTGTTTGTCTACAAGGGCACATGCAGATGTGTGCGTGTGTGCCGGAGGGTGACTTAAGGTGACGTATTCAACAGCTCTCCACCTTATTTTTTAAACACTTATTCTAAATATGTATATATGGGTATTACTTGGGTACTTTTCTATTGCAAAGAAAAATCATGACCAAGGCAATTTTTAAAAGAAAGAGGCTTGCTTACAGTTTCCAGGGGTTAGAGTTCATGACCATCATGGTGGGAAAGCAACAGCTAAGAGCTTACATCAGATCCACAAGCATAAGGCAGAGAAGGAGAGAGCTAACCCTTCTAATTCTTCCTAAACAGCTACCAGCTGTGGACTAATCACTCAACTATGAGCCTGCGGAGGCTGCTCTTACACAAACACACTCCACTCCTTGGCTCCTACAAGCTTGCAGCTATATCATAGCGCAAGGTGTATTAGTCCCACTTCAAAGGTCCCTACAGCCTTTCACAGTCTCAACAGCTTAAAAGTGTAATGACTCTCCTGAGACCAACAGTCATGGACTTTACTAACCGCTGGAAATGTGGGCCACAAATTAATAGTTGAAAAGACCTATGTTTTGTTTATACGTATGTCTCTTCACTGCAAGTTGCCTGATCACCACAGAGGCAGTGGATGCCCTGGAATTGGAGTTGGAGACAGTTGGAAACAGTCACATGGATGCTGGGAACTGAACCAATCCCCTGGAAGAACAGTCACTGCCTTTAGCCACAGAGCTATCCCGTTAGCCCCAACAGTTATTTTAAATTATGCTGTGCAAGTGCACCTAAGTAAAGGTGCCAGAAGAGGTCAGAAGCTTCAAATGTGCCTGGAGCTGGAGTGACAGGCAGTTGTGAATCACCCAGCTTAAGTTCTCGTAAAAACTTAAGAAGCCCTCTGCAAGAGCAGTCTAGCTTCCTAACAGTGAAGCCACCTTTCCAGCTCCTCAAGCCTGGAGCTCAGGTGTCCTGGGCCCTAGCTGCCTCCACCCTTGCAGTGCTGGGCCACAGATGCATGACAATACATTTGGCTTTTTATGTAGCTGCTAAGAACCAGAGCGCAGGTCCTTAGGTACTATCTGTTTGTTTGTAAACAAGGTTTCTCTGTGTAGCCTTGGCTGTCCTGGACTCTTTGTAGACCAGGCTGGCCTCCAACTCACACGATCCGCCTGTGTCTGCCTCCTGAGTGCTGGGACCACCACGGCTGGCTCCATATGAACTTTCTTGACTAAGAGTCTCCCTGTCTATTTTTTTTTTTGAGTTCTTAGTTATAAACATACCAAACTCGTTGTCCCGTCTCTCTAAGTACTTGTTAATATTACTTCTCCTGCAGTGGGGTATGGTGGCACACACCTCTAGTCCCAGCACTCTGTAGGCAGAGGCAGGAGGATCTCTAAGTTCAAGACCAGCCTGGACTACATAGGACAACCAAGGCTACAGAAAGAGACCCTGTCTAAAAAAACCAACAATTCCCAAATATTACTTAAGCTGTAAGGGCATAACATTTCTCTGAAATGAATGTCCCACAATTTTATTGGACTGGTATCTCGGCCACTGGATGCTTAATTTTTGCCTTTTGTAACTGTATAAAACACCAGAAGGAACTTCATTTTTTTTTTTTTTATAGAGTGTAAAAAAAAAAAAAAAATGAACCTGTCCTATGATCAGAATATCTGGGTTTTTGATTTGTTTTGGTCTTTGTTTTTTTCTCTGTGTAGTCCTGGCTGTCCTATAACTTGCTCTTTAGATCTGTAGACCAACCTGGCCTCAAACTCACAGACATCTGCCTGCCTCTGCTTCCCGAGTGCTGGGATCAAAGGCTTGCAACATGCTTGGCCTGTTTAGATTAACTTAAGATACAAAATACATAAGCATGGCCCAAGGGAAAGCTCTACCAAGCACCACTTCAGTTATGAATACAGTAACTCAACAGAGCTCTTACCAATGAAAAAAAGGAACCCAACTACAAGGTGTAGTGGCCACATTCATAAAGACTCACTGCTCCTCCCCAAACACTGATCAGCATGCCCATACTTCTGTGAAACTACAATGATGGTATGTGACTGTGGCTACAGCCTTGTACCAGTACGGAAGCCCAAAGCCAGGAATGGCTGCATGATTCTAAACTATCTCAGGAGCTATGCCTGCCTACTTATAAGCACCCATCTTGTAAGAATTACGGGGACATTTGCTTAAAGAGGAAAAGAACAGAAACCATGTTGTATTTTCAGAGAACAAAATATAACTGATTATTATTTTTCTTCTAGTGGAATCTACTGTACTTCTGGAACATAAAAATAGCACTCTGGCTCCCATCTGAAACATCCATGGCATATCCTCACATGCCCATAAGCTTTCATTCCCATTAGCTTACCCCTTTGCTGATGTAGCCCGATAGCAGGAGAGAGCCTATGATTATAAGAAAGGTGCCAATCAAAAACAGCACGGTGGCAAGAGCAATGGCCTTATAAGGGATCTTAGGAGGGCTTTTCTTAAACTGGAAGAGACAAAAACAAAAAGATGAAGAACATTATGAAAATGCCAGACCTAAAGAACTTTAAAGCAGGGAGGGTAATTAAGAACCAAAGTGGATGCTTCAAGCGTCTTAAATATGTCCAGCAGTCAGTATAGCTCTGGACATGAAGAGGGACAAGAGCAGGAAGCTTCTGCTTTCCCACAGCCCCCTCACTACAAACAAGGAAACCCTTTACAGTGACTGTCACCTAGTTGTTGGACATGTATTTACTAAGCGCACATGCATGGGGCGTGTGTTATCTTGTGGGGATTCAGCGTGAGCACCATGCTAGGCAGATGTGAAACAGTAACTTCTGCACTGACGGTGACTTGGCGTAGCCAGTCAAAAGTTTCCAAGCACAATTTCAGCTTTTCTTTCTTTTTAAGGATTCATTTTATTCTTAGTTATGTGTCTGTGTGTGGGATGTGTATATGAGGGCAGATTCCTGTGCATGCCAGAGGAACTGGATCTTCCAAGAGCTGGAATTATGGGCACCATAAGCCACCTGAGCCACCTGATGTGACTCTTGGGTACCAAACTCAGGTCCTCTGTAAGAACAGTACTTGTAGGCCAGAGAGATGGCTCCAGGGTCAAAGAACATGCTTTGTCCTGAGTTGAATACCCAAAACTGATATGGTGACTCAAAACAGTCTGTAACTTCAGTTTCAGAGGATCTGATACCTTCTAGCCTCTTTGGGCACTGTACAGACATGGTACACAGACATACATACAGACAAAACACCCATACACACTTAAAATAATAAATTAAAAAAATTTTTTTTAATTAAAAGGGGTGAAAGGGCATGGAGAGACAGCTCAGTGAATAACAACAACAACGGCTCTTGCAGGGACCCAGGTTTGGCTCCCAGCATCCACATGACAGCTCATAACCAACTCCATCTTCAATTGCAGGAGATTTGATGCCCTCCTTCAGCCTTCTCAGGCACCAGGCACACACACGGTGCACATGAAGGCAACACACACACACACAAAACATTTAAAACTGCAGAACAGTATGTACTCTTAACTGCTGAGCCACCTGTCCAGCCCAAGTTTCAGCTTTCCGAAAGCACTGCATTATGAGTAAATTCAGCTTAAGGTTAAGAGTTAGAACAGATTAAAGCTGAAATACAGCATGAACACATACATGTATAAATAATATATACGAATAAAAACATTTTTAAAAAGATAGAGAGACAAACCTTCTAAGGTTTGACTCATTACTGAGTCTGATGTTTAGTGTTTGGAAGCACCTCAGATGAATTCTTCTTCAAACAACTACAAAGAATAATTGATTTGTTTACACTTAAAAGAACAGACTCCTGCCTGCTACTTCCCCTGTGGCCCAGGGCCACCTAGACTATTCTATCCTGAGGGACAGTGGGAAAGAGAGAGATGCTATCCTACATAACAGGTAATGGCCAGGAGAGAACACGCACTTACTTGCTTCACTTTCTGTTTGCCATAAAGAGTCTCTAACTAACTGCATCTTGTCATATCAGGAAAGAAAATATTTTTCTGGAGAAGTTAAATAAAATCTGTAGCTACATGGCTTTAGCACTTCAACTCAAACTGGAAGCAGATAACCCTGGAATTGCTTGCAACTTCCCTGCCATGATCCCTTTTCCAAGTTGGAGCTCAGAAGGGCTTGGAAATAAGTTTGCTTCTTGCTGGTCCAGATAAGAGATACGAAGCGACATGTTTTTGAAATTTTTTACTGACTGACTGATTGTATTACCTGAAGGTCAATGTAGCCATCATCTGTGCTGGACAGCCTTGAATATTTCACTTTACTACTGGGAATTCCAGTCGCCAGGCTGGTGCGAGCCGGCATCATCACACGGTAACACAGCTAGTCTGGAAGGGAAAGACTTATTGTCACAGCAATAACAGTACATCAAGACTTCAGACACCGTGTGCCGGAGTTCTGTGCTGGAGTTCACAACACGGCAGCTTAGGCTTCACCGCTCTTACAACGACCTGATACTTCTTGGACACAGCAAGCATACTCCCATAATGTATCTGGCTTGACTTGACAGAAAGACACCAAAGGCATTTCCAAAGAATCGGAGCCTGGCTTTAATCCCAGCACTGAGGAAGCAGGGGCAAGTGGACTGATGTAAGTTCGAGGCCAGCCAGAACTACACAAAGAAACCCTGTCTCGAAAAACCAAAAAGAACAAGCAGCAGCAGTGCTGGCAGCAGAAGAATCAGAGCTCATTTACTTTGCCACCAATGTTTCCTGCTTAGTTTTCCAAAGTCACATGGAGGTGAGTGAAGACTGGAATCCAACCTTCACAGTTTCAATCAACCCCTCCCTCACAGTGCTGTCTGCCCCTTAACTTTAAATTAAAATTAAACTTAATTTAAACTTTAAATTAAAATTCAAATAATTTTTTGTTTGCCACGAGAGGAGGAGGAATGTGTATGCACATTCCTTATACATCAGCATTTTGTCTACTTCTGGATGTGATATCATCCTGAGCGACTGATGAGCAAATTCTTATCAATGTGGGTAACTGCGCCCATCCCAAGCATGAAACAAGTGATTTTACTTTCCACATCATGTAGCTCCTGAAAAAGTGGATGCAAAAGTCTGTTTTACTCAAACCACTCAAAGCAGACAGCAGTAATGAAACCATAACTACTCTATCATTTGAGAGCAGGTAAAATTTAAAAACAATAAATTGCTTAAAAACTTGACATCTGAGCTCAGTACTTGAGAAAGAGACCATAATCCCGGCTACTTGGGAGGCTAGTGCAAGCAACATCGTGATTAGATGATTGCTCCTATGACAGCTGAAATATGTAGATTCTGTATAAAGTCATACAATTATATAAACAAAATTATTTCAGTTGGAAAGCTATTTGAATTCTCAAAGCCCACCTTTAAGAAGAAAACTATGTCGATAGCCCCCAGCCTTCACTGGTGTGGTATTTTTATTTTGCACATCATCTCCATAATGGCCTGTGGTGTTTATTGCATCTTGGTGAGACGCCAGACACTGCCTATGACAGTCGACTAAAGTAACTAGCATGCAAAAACTGGTGCCAAATATTCCGGCCTTTTTGTTAATTACATTTTAGTTCAGAATCCGAACTAAAAAGTAACTAAAAAGGAGCAATGCCAATCCATTTGCAATTCTAAGTGTTAGATCAAGTTGTGTTCAGGGCTAGGTTTCTGTTGTTGCCATCCCATGTTTAATTACTCAAACTTGAAAGTTCAAGCTATCAATAAATGGGGGTTCTGTGGCACTGAGCCACTCCTGATTTGTATTACGCTACAAAATGACGTTCTCTGCCTTTTATAACCTCGCACCAAAACAAATGCTGCGGAACGAGAGCGGAAAGGGAATACTTGTGTTCTTCTTAGCAAAGGATTCTAGAGGGAGTTATCACATCGTACAAAACAAAACAATTCAGTCCAAGTTCCTACTACGCTTTTTCTCGGCCCCGCCACAACCTCGCCCACCCTCCCGGCCCCTGAGCACTTGCGCGTGGCGCTGTGGACAGCCTCCCGCCGGCCACCGCCGCCGTCACCCACGGTCAGGACCCACGCGAGCCCACCACTAACCGGCTCAGGACGCGGCTTCCGGGAGCGCGCCCCGCCCCTGGCCGCGCCGCGCGCCCCGTCCTCCGGTACGCGCGCTGACAGCTCGCTTAACAGCCAACGGCCGTCGGCCTGGCCGCCGGAAGTGCCGTGCGGTCCGGCGCGCCGGAAGTGGCGCCACTAGGAAGCCACATCACCGCACCCGGCTTCAGTGCGCATGGTCGGAGACCTCCCTTGCTGCATTATTTAGGGTTTCTCCGGGCAGCGCTGGCTGTCTTGGGACGCAGTATGGTGACCAGGCTAGCCTCCAACTAGAGGTCTGCCTGTTGTTGCTTGGCGGCCCCGGGCCTGCCACCTCCACAGGGTGGGTGGGCGCTTAATTAGGGTCCTTTCTACCGGGATGGAGCCTACAGCAAGACTTAATGTGGTTCCAGCCCAGACCCCGTGGCCACATCTGTGCACAGCGGGATCGCCGGGACCTGGAGGGGTGGGCTAGGGACCGGCCAGGTATATTCTGCCCAGGACAGCCCTTTGCTGACACTGGTGTGCACTCACTAACGAGCGCTTAGTCCCAAATTCTTGTTTCCCTGCTTGGTTATCTGACACCGTCCAGTCAAGTCTTTCGTACCGGAGTTCTAACGTATATCCTCATGTAACAGTGACCAGTCTTGATAAAGCATTTCCATCACCCTGTAAGTGAGGTGTATGTGCAGCCAATTTCCTTCCCTGGTAGCACAAAACGTTACATACTAGCAGCTACTTGGTATGGTCTAACCAACAACCTCCTATAGCAGTCAAAGCTGTACCCTCTACAAACTGCCAAACACAAAACGGAAAAAAGAATTTGAGGGCTGTGGAGGTACTGTGGCCTAGCTGGTAAACTGCCTTGAGGCACAGCGAACATACAAACTTGCTCTTCTAGCCCTGGCCGGAGATCCTACCCCAATAAGGCAAACAGAAAATGATTCTCCATTACCAGCCAGGTTTTCTACATACATGCAAAACTCACATAAGAATTGAAAAGGGGCGATGGGATAATTTGGATAAACAATGCTTACTCAGTGAAGGTGCTTGTCACCAAACCTGAAGAACATTGCACTCTACATGAACCTCCATACAAAAAGCATTCAAGTATTTTTACTATGTCATGACCTTTCTTCAAAACCATGGGGCTTTTGTTTTTATGAGAGCTGCGGCTACATGTACTCCTGCAGGCCAGAAGAGGGCAATCAGAACTCAGTATAGATGGTTGTGAGCCACCATGTGGTTGTACTCAGGACCTCTGGAAGAACAGTTTTCTTAAGCCCTGAACCATCGCTTCAGCCCCCATGATTTTATTTTCACCCTTCTTGCTTAGACACGTGTCCATAAAATTTAAGCCTTTTATTTGAGATAGGGGTTTATGTAGTCCTGGCTGGCCTAGGAAGTCACCCGCCCCTGCACTCTTTAAAAATTTTTGTACAACCTAATGACATATTTAACATTTTTTTATTGCCATCTCCCTGATATATTAACTTCAGGCTGCTTTAAAATGGAAGAGAGAAAACCACATTTACACAAGAGGCTAACTTTCATTGAATTCAGTAGTCATGGTACCAAGAGGGCACTGCTGACTTTTCAAATTCAGTTATCTTTATTTAAATTGAAAAATTCTTACATTTAGCGCCAAGAGCTTTTATAAAAATTACCAGTATTTTAAAGACAGAAATATATATGTTAACAAAACCAGTTTTTACTTTGAAGTTTATTCAAGCAAATTGTGGAGAATGCAAAGAAAAAAGTAGGTTATTTACATCAGATATCTACATATGTACTCAGGTTCAAAGCTGGTGACAGAAAAGACTTCAGGACATGCTGGCATCTCAGAAGCAGTTCTCTCAGTGTCTAGCAGTGCCTAACTAAGAGCCTTCTTCATCTTCAATCTTGGGAGCCAAATAGTACTTTAAGTGTCCCATGTCGGCAATTTTATATTCTACAACTGAAATGAAAGAGAGGAAAAGTTAATTACAGAGGAGTACTATAAATAACACAGTACAAAACAACGTTCAAACTTACTATCTTACCAAGGGGTACATCTGCAGACATACTGAGTGTTACTGTAGGAGACAGTGGAGTGGCTTTTGTGAAGAAGTTCAGGTACCTCAGTGCAAAAGTCAGCTGAACTGGCTCATTCATCTCTATGGTTACCTAGAGAAAACAGGCTCACTATAAACAACAGCAAGAAACTCATACTATCAGTTCATGATAGACACCACGATACAAAAACCTTGAGGACTAAAGAAAAGAAACGAAACATAGTTAATCCTATAGAACCATACCACAAGCAACCAAGACAAAGCTGTTTCTGTCCAGATTGTAAACACTAACCTCTTGCAAAAGACTATACGGGGAGAAGGAAAAAAATGGAACGGCAGCTAACCAGGAAAACTCCTGACTAGTAGGAGTTAAGGTCCTTGGTTCAGTGTCTACCACTATAACCTACTTCCACCTCTGACAGTAACCAGGGCTAGATAGCTGGCTCAGTGGCTAAGAGCACTTGATGCTCTCCCAGAGGACTCAAGCTGATTTCCAGCATCCACATCCAGCTCATAACCAACTCGAGTAACTCCAGTTCCCAGGGGTCTAACACCCTTTTCTGTGACTTCCATGGGCCACACTGGCATACAACTACTTCTAAAAATAAATTTTAAAAGCATCAACAGGTTAAATATAAGCTAAGGGAACATGTCAAACAATTTTCATTTTATGAGTATCAATTTTATTCAAGTCCCAATTCAAACTTCAAATAAGGAACATATGGATACTGGAAATTTCTTTTTATTTGTTGTAGTAAAGCCTTACCTCAGACAAAACCAAAATACTTATGGATTAAATGTCTTGAGATCCAAATAGGGCTGAAGTTGACAGGGAAATAGAAATAATTTAGCAGACAGATTAAGGTTAAGAACCAGTCCTCAATCTGGACCCAGTGGCATGTGCCTATAATCCTAGCACTCTGGGAGGCAGAAGCAGCAGAGGATCTGTGAGCTTGAGGCCAGCCTGGTCTACAAAGTAAGTTCCAGGACAGCAAGTAAAAAACAAAAATCAAGACAACAAAACCCCAAACAAAACTAAAAATACCCAAAGTACCAGCCCTCTGAGTTGTGTGCATATCTATGTTCCCATCTTTAGTTATGCCTTCATTTATTTTAAATTCATGCAGAGGAAAATAAAGTTAACATCTTATATACTTAAATACTTCGTGGTAAGCACTTCAAATTTCATGTTTAACCCTAAAAATCCTCTTTCGTACAGGCTTCTGTGTATGGAGTTTACTGCCCTGGCTGGCTGGCAAAACTTTAAGGAGGCCTAGCATCTTCTGCTTGACTGAGGGCTCACCAGATTTTTTTTCTTTGCCTTTCCAATTTCTTCCTCATTTTTGAGATTTCTGCCAGGTAGTCAGGTTGACTTTAAACTAATGAATCCTTCTGCTGTAGCTGAGTACTAGGGTTATGGGTTTGAGCCATCATGCCTGGGTCCCTCTGGGAACATAAATGTCAACAGCATTTGATACAACTCTTTCCATGTGGCATGAAGTCTTTCCTTTGGTACTGTGAGTACTCTTACTCAGAGTCCTGTTGCCTGTAACTCGATCTAAGTTGCAATTTAACTTTGCGCAGCCTGCTTCTGGATCAGTAAATGGCCTAGCAAATAAACCTTCAACATATAAAGCTATTAGAAGAGCTACATGATGCCAACACTTTTACAACCCGCAACCATTTTCTTCTGTTCACTTCCTAATCCTCATTAGTGAGGAGTCAGTCATTTTAGGAAGCAAAAGGTTGGATACCTAGCTTTCCAATCCTATCTGTAAAAGCATATATGGAGCAGTTTAAAGCCAGCCTGGTCTACTCAAGAATCCATGTTAAGGGGCTGGAGAGATGGCTCAGGTTATGAGCACTGGCTGCTCTTCCAGAGGTCCCGAGTTCAATTCCCAGCAACCACATGGTGGCTCACAACCATCTATAATGAGATCTGGCGTGCAGAACGATGTGTATATAATAAGTAAATAAATCTAAAAAAAATAATCCATGTTAAAAAACAAACAAAAACCCACTATAGCTGGAGGGCTGGTTCAACAGTTAAACTTATAGCCCCCCTTTCAGACATTGTTAATTGGACAACACCTCTTACTACTTACAGCTTCCTCCTCTTTATCAACATTACTTGTTTGTGACAACTTGATGTTTCCATTTCCAAGCTCTCCACTTGCAGAAAACTTCACACCATCCTTTGCACAGGATATTACAACAGCATCTCCAATATGGCTAAGGTCTCGGCATATGCGTGCAAATTCACCCGAAGGCATCTTCACTACACAGCTGTACTCCTGTTCCTATTAAATCCAAAAGTTAAAGGTCAGTTTGGAGAAGTTAAATACTCAGCTTCACATTCTCAAGAATGTAAGACCTCCGATTTCTTTAAAAGTCAATTAATTTATACTGCTATAGTTTAGTGAAATGTGCCATTCATTCCGAATTCCACAACCCCACTTTAGAACATGTCTTGATGAAATACACCATCAGAAACAAGATACTCACTGGGATTCCAAGTTGCTCAACATCCAAGTCCATTAACTTCATTTCATAATCTGAAACTTTCTCTTGATCTACCAAAAGAAAGTAAATATTACTGAAGCACATGCTCATATCTAATGTGTAAATTTCACAACAATTCTATTAATATTCTTAGTTTTGAAAAACAGCTCACTGTGCTTTGTGCAACAATTGAGTTTTAAAGGTGTAACTTACTTGGTGCTTCAAATACTAGCGCTAAGGTATCCGCATTATCTTCAGCCCTTAATGTAATGATGTCTTCATTACCAGCACATTTTAGTATTTTGGACATGCTAGAAAACAAGACACAGGGCTTATTAACACCATGTCCTCAGCACCTAAATTCTTAAAGGCAATTACGAGATGTTACCATCTCATCTTGTCATCAGTTGGAGAACTGTTATAAGAGGCTAAGGGTAGGGCTGGGGAGATGGCTCAGTGGTTAAGAGCACTGAGGGATCCAGGTTCAACTCCCAGCACCCACATGGCAGCTCACAACTGTCCATAAGCAGTTCCAGGTGGTCTGACACCCTCACACCAATGCACATAAAATAAAAGAAATGATTAAAAGAGGCTAAGGGTAACCCAACCCCCCTGGGGGGGGGGGGTTATCGAGTATATGCTATCTTTAAAAATCGATAAGTAAAACACACTAAAAGGTAACAGGTGTCCTTGGCTTCCACTGTATTTGACAATGTGTGCATTATGTCTGGCCTTTTCATCAATCTTTTAAAATGTATACAGGTGGCACTAACCCATGTATCTGTGGCAAAACTGTGTCACACGTAGCCTTTGAACACGTAAACAGATGGCACTAACCCAGGTAGCTGTAGCAAAGTTAAAAGCTAAAACTGATAAACTGCCCCAGAGATCCATGATGGCGCAGTGAGGTTCTGGAATCTCACTAGAAAAGGCCTTACGGTCCCTGCAAGCGGGCAGTGCCACCTCTTCACTAGAACACGTTTGGCGGGCAGCTAAAGTCACCCAGGACCAGAGCGCGCGCTCAAAGCAGCGGGCATCTGATGAGCGCAGCCCCGCGGCAGGCATTTTCCCGCCGCCTCCCGCTTTGTGGCTTTGGCGCGGAAACTGAGCAGACGCGCGGCCGCCAGCGCGGGCTTTTCGGAACCCCGCGCTCCGACGGGCTCTGCCCCCGGCACCGCCACCAATCAGAAGGCGCTAGCGACGGCCTCAGCCAATGAGAGCCGGCGCCGGAGCGGCCGCGCGCCGGGGGGGAGGGGGGGCTGCGGCCCGGCTCCCGCCACCCGCTCACCTAGTGAGGTTCACGCCCATGGCCAGGTTGCGGTCGCAGCGGTAGGTGTCGAAGCCCTCAGAGCGCAGGGTGAGCTGCACCAGGGAGACGTGCGACGAGTCCATGCTCTGCAGGTTCACGCCGCCCGAGCTGATGTCCCAGCAGGCCTCGTTGATGAGGTCCTTGAGAGCCTCCAGCACCTTCTTCAGGATGGAGCCCTGGATCAGACGTGCCTCGAACATGGTGGCGGAGTTGCGACGACCTGACGGTAGACTGTGTCAGGAGCGAGGTGTGGCCGCTAAGGTCCACCGGCTGACGGAGCAGGAGCGGCAGCGGAGACTCAGAGCGGACGACTACAGCCCGCTGCACCCGCGACCGTTTAATGCCGCCGGGGCCCAGCGCGCGCTCTTCCCGTCCGCGAGGGTCGAGACGTCACCGCGCGGCCCCGCCCACGTCTCCCCCAGGACCAATCATGTCCGTGTCCCGCGAGGCCCGCCCTGTTGCGTCTGCGGAGGCGGGGCTGCGGCGGAGGCGTGGGCCTTCCTGGGGTCCGCCTCCGCTGCGGGAGAGGTCCGGGTCTCTGGCGGAGCTGAGGCCGCCGGTTCCGTCCGAGGAAGGTTCCGCGTCACGGAAGTGGAAGTCACATGCTAACCAAGCTGTGCGCGCTTCTAGCTTCTAGCGTCGCTGAGCGATTTCCTTTTACTAAGCGCAGTTTGCCGCAGAATGTCGAGCGATACAGTGGCCACCGTATCTTAACACCCCCTATTTCATACCCCGTCACAGTGTGCGTCGCTCTGAACTTTTGTGAACGCTTCTGCAAAAGACCCTCAAAGTATTGCTAGCTCTCAAGGTACATAGTCCGTATGTGCCACCTAATTTATTAGTGCCCTGCTATGCCTGGTTCTGTTATTTTACTAACTGTAGATACTAGTAAAAAGTTCATCTTAGTTTTAAGCTGGAGATGAGCCCAGCCGAACCCCATCTAGGCTGGGGATGAGCCCAGGGCCTAGACAGAACTCTGCTGAGCCACATCCTCAGTACAGCAGCCTCATTGTAAAATCTCTACCTGGTCTGTCAGCTCTTACAGGTGTTTCATATGCTCCGGGCTGCTGCATTTGGTTGTACTAAAGTTTCTTTTTTTATATTGACTATGAGAATGGGGAAGAACTGAATGGACACCAGTTACAAAAGGATATAAGGATAATTTTGTTCTATTTCAAATGTTTTCTTTATTTGTTTTGGTGGTGGATAAATATATTTGATAATGGAGGTGTAAAATTTTAATGTGAAACTCTACAGCATCCATTTCGAATGCCTCTTCTAACTGTATAGAAGTTCGTTGAGTTGTGTAGATTTTTGGTGTATGATGTTTTTATTTATTTGCATTTTTTTTAACTAATAAGGTTTAAACATTTTCAGAAAGTTTAAAGGATTGTTTTAGCTGATCAGAGTGGTTTACAGCTGTAACCCCAGCTGAGGTGGGAGGGCCTGGGGAATTTAAAGTCAGCTTGGACCATCTACTAAGGCTGACACAAAAAGGGGAAAAAAGTAATATTTAGCTCCAGGTCCCCTGAAAGAGCAGGCAGTGCTTTTAACCACTGAGCCATCTCTCCAGCCCCGGATTTATGTCAGTTTATATGATGTGCCATTATTTTTGCAGCACAAAAGGGAAAACTGTCAAACTACCATACAGTGCTTTAACACATAAAATTTTGATTTTGTAATGATTTTTTCTTCTCTCTCTCTTTTTTTCCTTTAGACAAGGTTTCTCTGTGTAGCCTTGGCTGAACTGCTCCCTAGACCAAGCTGGCCCTGAACCCGCCTGCCTCTGCCTCCCCTCCTGCTGGGATCACAGGTGTGTGCCACTGTGCGATAACTCAGACATGAACTCTTCTTGCCTGTTTTTTGATCACTTCCCCCTAGTGGGGCTGCCTTACCATGCCTCAGGGGAAGAGGATGAGCTCAGTCCTGATGTGACTTGATGAACTGAGGTGGGTGGGTAGGGGGTCCCTTCCCTTTTCTGAGAAAGCGGGGAGGGGAGGATGAGACTGGGCAGAGAGAAGGGAGGGGGCTACAAGCAGGATGTAAAGCGAATAAAGTTATTAATTTTTGAAAAGCGCTACGAAAAAAACCAAACAGCACTATTACACTTCCACCCATTTTAATCATACACTGTCCTTGTGGGGACGTTTTGAGAAAACTGAGAGCTCAGGGTGTATGGTGGTAGAGTGCTTGCCTGACCTGTTCAGGACCCTACCATGAGCCCCAACATCACGAGAGAGACAGAGGTGTTTGCACTATTTGTTTACATTCAGAGTTTTTCGTTCAGGGACCACTACTGCTTTGTGAGTGGAGCTAATGCTCCAGAGTACAGTGTGGGGATAGAGAGAGGGCTCAGTGGTTAAGGGCACTGGCTGCTCCTGTCAGAGGATCTGAGTTCAGTTTCTAGCACCCACATGGTAGCTTACAATCCTCTGTAACTCCACTTACAGGTAATTTTACACCCGTTTCTGGCCTCCAAGAGCACCAGGCACACACATGGCACACACACATTCTTGCAGGAAAATACTCATGTACTTAAAAATAATTTTAAAAAGATTTTGTTATGTCCGCAGTTTCTTCCAAGTTCCTTCCATCCATTTGTAAGTTTTGATGCTGGCATTGTCTTGCTTTATGTGTAATGAATGATTGTTTTATTAACATTTTTATGTAATATATGCATGCCTCAACACATGTATGGAGGTCAGAAGAAAACCTGCAAGAGGCAGCTCTGTTCTTCCACCATGGATCACAGGAGAGAACTCAGGCCCAGCGGTAAGCGCCTTTACCTGCTAAGCTGTTTGGACAGCCTGAATTATTTTTTCAGATAATGTAGAGTCAGGCTTGTAGCTTAGTGTTGCTGTGTGTGGTCACGACCTTGCGGTAGATCTCCAGCACCACACCACAAACAAAAATAAAGCACCATACTATAGCTACATATGTCTGTGAGAATTTTCTTTTCTTGGATTATTTAAGATCTCATTTTCTTTGCAAACCATAGATAACGGGACGTCAGAAAAGCTACAGCACAGCCTCCCAAAGATATTTTAAATGGCATATAAACTCCATTGGCATGATACCTGCAGTGTCCATGAATTTGTTGAAACAAGTACTTAAAAATAGCAATGCACTGGTTGTAGAAGGCCTGTCTGAGGAGGTAACATTTTACCAGAGAAGCAAGCTGTTTTGAGAGTGGAAGAAAGCATAAGCTGGGAGAACAGATTGATTAAAATGGCGGACATTAGGGCTGTGGAATATAGTTCACACACACAGTCTCTGGTTCCATCCCCAGCAACACACACAGAGGGAGAAGGAGAGGAGGAGAAAGTGACGGGCGTGCTAAGAAAAGGTGCGATGAGTAGCCTGTAGTAGGACTCGGTTGACATGGCTGGAACATGATGAACAATGGTAGAGTAATGCAGGTGGGATTGCAAAGACAGGCAGCTGCAGCTCATACAGGACTGTGCTGGTCCTTTGTAAGTACAAGGAAATGTCAAAACAGACCCCTCCACTTTGATTACAGGGTCTCACTGTATAGGTCAGGCTGCCCCGGAACTTGCCACATAGCATGGGCTAGCCTCAAACTGAGGACCCTTCTACAACATGTTTTTGGCATTTTCAGGGGATCTCCTTAACATTTAGGAAAGGAATAAATGAATTATGCATATTTTTATCTGATTAAACTTTTAGAATACATCTATGGACTCTTCCCAATAGCTAGTTCTCAAATTCCAGAAGAGAAACTCAATTTAAGCAAGGTTTGGTGACAGAAGTTGGTAATGAAGTAAAATAAAGTAGAAAAGAGCAGTTATTACACACTGGTTGATTCATTTTGTGAAAGCACTGCTTGTACTGCTTGTTGTCAAACAACATCACCTTGCTACTTGGAACAGAATGACCTGGACAGGAGCCAAGGCCTAGTCCTGCGATGGCTGTTGCTGCTATCAACCTGACCATGAAAGCTTACACCTGCCAACTGAAGCAAAAGCTAACCGCCATGCATGCTTCTGGAAGAATCTCCATTTGCTTGCTTACTTGCCCTATCTTATCGTTTTAGAAGATAAAATGAGACTGTAAAATGGACTTGGAACTGAAGCATTTTTGTTTCTTGTTCTTTTTTTTTTTTTTTTCTTATTTTTCAAGACAGGGTTTCTCTGTGTAGCCTTAGCTGTCGTAGACTCGTTTTGTAGACTAGGCTGCCTCAAAATCACAGATATTCACCTACCTCTACCTCCCTGAGCAATGAGATAACAGGTATGCACCACTGTGCCCAGCCTTGGTCTGTGTTTTCAAGAAAGGGTTTCTTTATGTGGCCATGACTGTCTGGAACTTGCTCTGTAGACCATGCTGGCTTGAACTCAGAGATCCACTTGCCTCTATCTTTTTATACATAAAAGTAGCATGTTCCCTAATACCCTTACATGATTTAATGTTTTGTTTTTGTTTTTCGAGACAGGTCTTTCCGTGTAGACGTGGCTGTCCTGGATCTTGCTCTGTAGACTGGGCTGGCCTTGAATTCACAGAGATCCACCTGCCTTTGCCTTCCAAGTGCTGGGATTACAGGTGTGTGCCACCACCTGCCTATGATTAAATGTTTTAACTATTACAGGTGAAAAACAAATTATTCCCAAGAACCCACATGCATTTGTGTCTAAACAACTTGTTTTAGATTAACAAAGTGTGAGCAAGCAAGGTATTTTTCTCAGCCAGTTTCTTTTACTGGCAGATTGCAATTTGCAGTTACAAAGAAAAGATCAATTATTTTATTATTTATCTTAAAAAATAATCTTATAAAAAATCTTAAAAGGACTGGGAAAGAGAATGGAAATTGGGGGGCACCTCTGGGACTTAAGGTAGGGGAGGCTCCAGGGAGTCTGTGCAGGTGACCCTACCTGAGGCTCCTAGCAGCAGGGGTTATGGAGCCTGAAGTTGCTACCTCCTGTGGTCAGGTGGGACTTCCAGTGGAGGGAGGAGGACACCAACCCACCCATGAAACCTTTGACCTCAAATCTGTCCTGCCTACAAGAAGTGTAAGGATAAAGATGAGCAGAAATTGAGGGAATGGCAAACCAATGACCACCCCATGAGAGAGAGCCAACCCCCCCTGACTCTATTAATGATACTCTGCTATGCTTGAAGACAGGAGCCTAGTATAACTCTCTTCTGAGAGGCCTCATCCAGCACCTGATGAAAACAGATACAGAGACCCATAGCCAAATAATAGTCGGAGCTCAGGGAGTCCTGTGGAAGACTGGAAGGAAGGATTAGGGAGCTGGAGGGGTCAAGGACACCACAAGACTTATAGAGTAAACTAACATGGGCCCTCGGGGGCTCACAGAGACTGAACCACCAACCAAAGAGCGTGCATGAGCTGGACCTAGGTCTCCTACACATATGTATCAGGTGTGCAGCTCAGTCATCATGTGGGTCCCCTAACAATGGGAGTAGGGAATATCTCTGACTCTGTTACCTGACTTTGGATCCCTTTCCCCTAGCTGGGCTGTTTTTTCTGGTCTCAGTGGGAGAGAATGGGCTTAGTCCTACTTGATGTGCCAGGGTGGGTTAGTACCCATAGGGGTGGGGCTCAAGGTGAAATGGGAGGAGTGGGGTGTGAAGTTAGGACTGGAAAGAGAGGAAGGGGCCTGTGATCCAGCTGTAAAGTGATTAAATAAATTAATGAAAAAATCACAAATCTAAACTTCTATATAAAAAACAACCAGTCATTTATGCTTTACATTCCTCAGAGCGCTTGCAGGACTTCATGGCAACTGCCTTTAGTCCCAGCACTTAGGAGGCAAAGGCAGGCCATACAGCTAGAGCTATACACAGAGGGCACTCCTCAGAGTGCAAATCCACTAACCAACTTTTTTTTTTTTTTTTTTTTTTTTTTTGAGATGGAGTTTCTCTGTGTAGCCTTGGCTGTCCTGGATTCACTTTGTAGACCACGCTGGCCTCGAACTCACACAATCGGCCTGCCTCTGCCTCCCAGAGCGTTGGGATTAAAGGCTTGTACCACCATGCCTGACTATCATCAACAAATTTTTCTTATATCAGAAAGCCGAGGGCAAAAATGGGTGCAAGGGATTAATCATCACCTTGACCACCAGCCCAGCTTTAGCAAGAAAGGCACGTCAGTTAGTACTAGTCAAGCTGCCATTTTCCTTGCTGAACTTTAAATTGTTCCCCAAGATTTTCTACATCAAAGCCACTAACAAAAACTATCTTACCCTGCCAGGCAGTGGTAGTGCATGCAACCCCAGCACTTGGGAGGCAGAGCCTGACAGATCTCTGAGTTTAAGGCCAGCCTGGTCTACAGAGTGAGTTCCAGGACAGCTAAGGTTACACAGAGAAACCCTTGTCTCAAAAAAAAAAAAAAAAAACCCAAAAAGAAAACAACAAAAAAAAACTTAACCTAACTCTACTAACACACTACATATCCAAATTCTAAGGTGGCAGTCATTACTAACAGTCTGTATCTCCAAGTTTTTTCTAAGGGTGGTGGTTGAATCTTTAATCTGCTCCAGCAATTCTTGAAGAAGATCAACCGCTATTATAACTGCCAATGACACTGCCCAGTGAGGGGAGGGGGAGCCCCCTGAGAGTTTTCACATAACCACAGATCATGAGGGGTGTGATGACTGTGAGGGCAACAAGCAGAGTGAACCTCCATAACAACATGAGGTCCTCAGGACACATAGTCCTCGGCTCTGCCTCTCTGAGGCACATCTGTTGTGGTGGTGCTACCTGATGGGCACTGGCCTAGAACCTTCTCCATGAGTTCTAAAGCTGTCTTGCTGTTCCTCCCACGTCCCCCAACAAGAAATGAAGAATGATACTTTTAAACCTTTATGTTCCTCAGAGTACTTCATTGGTGAGCACACCAGGTTTTAGTGGCTCACAACATTAACTCAAACGTCTTTTTTTTTTTTTCTCTCTCTTAGCTTTTGTCATTTGAGTCGGGTTCCTAACTCTGGAGCCTAGGCTGACCTGGGACTCACTAAGTATTCCAGGATGGCCTCCGACTTGCAATAATTCCACTGTCTCAGCCTCCTGAGTGCCAGGATTACAGGCATAAACACCTGGCTTATGAATATTTGGTAGGAGCCTTGGATTAGGATCTGTTCTGAACTCAAGAGCCCAAACCAATGCACAGTGTAATGGTGGAAGCAGCTTTGGTTGGTTATCAAAGGCCCTGTAGCCAATGAACTAATAACGCTGTGAAAAATTAACTAGTTCAGCTATAGTCAGTTGCTAGTTGATTGACTAAGGTACAGCTAATTAAATTGTTTCCTAGCTCATAACTGTGATTTTCTGAAAATGCTGTTTGATTGCCATTGTTGGCCCAGTTCTCAGAATCAGCTTGGGTTTTGAAAGCTGGCTGATCCTCGAATGGCATTCTACAGTTCTTTGTAAATAGACCCTACTGAATTTAATTGGTGTAAAGAAGTTTTGACTTTATTTTTTGGAACTGGGATGGGACACAGGACCTCCAGCAAGCTCACACAGCTCTGCCACTAAGAGCTTGTTTGCAGTTCTGGACTGTTCCTTTAGTAAGAGAAAGGGAGCTTTACTAAAAATGCCAAAGGGCTTCCATAATCCAGATCTGATGTTAGTAAATTTGTGGAAGTATTGTCAGCCACCTTAATAAACAAATCCAGATTCCCTAGAGATATATTTTACCCTCCCACATGAGGACATTGTGTGTGGGAGTATAGTTGGTGGTGGTTTGTCAGGGCTGGGGATGGAAGCCAGGAATGGCCACCTGCTCTACCACCAAGTTACCCCATAATCCCTGCCGTAATTTTCTGCTGGGAACTTGGAAATGAATAAATATTAAAAAGTCTTAGACTTTTGGGCTGTGGATGTGATTCAAGTTGGCACAAAACTTTCCTCATATTCAGAAGCTCTTGGTCCCATCCACAGTACTACATAAACCTAGGATTTAGGCTTGGTGGTGGTTACACACACCTTTAATCCCAGTACTAGGGGAGGCAGAGGCAGGTGGATCTCTGAGTTTGAAGCCAGCCTGGTCTACAGAGTGCATTCCAGGACAGCCAACGCTACACAGAGAAATCCTGTCTTGAAAACCCAAAACTAGCCAATGAACCACACAAAATCAACAAGAACAAAACAAAACCCAAGCCAGAAAAACCCAACAACAATAAAACAAACCTAGGACATAGGATGGTGAAGCTGGAGGCACTCACTGGACAACGGAGGGGTAGGAGAAGGTGAACAGGACGAATTAATGGGCACTTGCCTCCAACAACCTGTGCCTGTGTGGGGGTGCTAGGTAGGAAGCAACCCTTTACTGGGGACCACACCTGGCCTTCCTGATAATTCTTTTTTGTTGTTGTTGGGGTTTTTTGTTTCTGTTTTTCTACACAAGGTTTTTCTGTGTAGCCTTGGTCATCCTGGACTTGTTTTGTAGACCAGGCTGGCCTCAAACTCACAGAGATCCACCTGCTTCTCCATCCCTGAGTGCTGGGATTAAAGGTATGTGCCACTATGCCTAGCTCACCTGACAATTATTTAATACATTTATTGTTAAGGAATTGTTTCTTGACAATTATTCCCAGAAGGCAGGGCAGTATACCTATTTAGGAAACTAGCAATTTTCATGTCACTTGTATCATTACAGTATTTTATTTATTTATTGAGACAGGGTCTCACTATGTAGCTCTTGCTGTCCTGAAACTCACTGTATAGACCAGGCTGGCCTCAAACTCATAGAGAGCTGTCTGCTTCTGCCTCTTGAATGCTGGAATTAAAGATATATGCCTCTGGCTTTTATAGATACATGTCTGGCTTTTTTAAAAAAAATAATTAACATTTTTTTGTCCATTGTGGTTTTTAAGTGTCGAGATTAGGGTCGAGGTGTGGTGGTGTGTGCCTGTAATACCAGAATTTGGCAAGCAGAGTCAGAAGAATTGCTGTGAGTTTGAGGCTTGCCTTGGCTACAGAGTCCAGAGACTTTGTCAGAAAAGAAAGAAAGGAAGGAAGAAAAGGAAGAAAGAAAAAGAGAGATGGGAAGTGTTTTATCATGAAGTGATATTATACCCAGTAAGAGTAAT